ATGTGTTTTATGAATTTGTTTTTAGTTGAGTAAATGTAAAAACACACAGTGTAGCATTAGATGACAGCCACTTGGGAGAAAACTGTTATGGAGGGGCATTTAAAAACTCAGCTGTCACACATTTCCAATCAGGCATTGGTAATGAAACACAGCTTGAAGACAACATTTTTCACTAGGTGTCACCTGTCATTTTGTGATTTTAGTAAAATTATGAAGCAGGCACCCTCTACTGCTGTGATCATCAACTGGCAGGTCTGTGGGCTGAATCTACAGAACTGTCCTGTCCAGTCCAGTCCAAGACTGGATTCCAAAATATAATATTAAACAAAAATGTGTTTTCTTTCATTTTGTCCTTTCCTCAATGCTCTCTGACAAATATACCATATTTTCCGGACTATAAGTCACACTTTTTTTCATCCTTTGGCTGAGTTTGCAACTTATACTCAGGTGTGACTTATACATTAAAATATATAATTTGACATGTTTGTTATTTTCACACTGACAGCTGCTAGAGGGCACACTGGGATTGTGTACCAGTATCTGCTACTCCTGTACCACTGAAAATGTATGTTTGTTTCAAAAATAGTTACATCGAAGGCAACTGGACGGAGTAGGTTTTTTTTAAAGGTGTTTCACCTCTCATTCAAGAGGGTTCTTCAGTTCTGTCTGACTACTGGGAAATTCTGGTATTTAGCCTCAAAGGGCCTGCATACCCGTAACGAGGGTTGATGCAGAAAGGGGGGATGGAGGTATGGTGAACCACACCCTATTCTAAGGAGGGCGGTTTTCTCCTACCTATAATTTTTTGCTACCCGAATTAACTGCGATTGTGCACATTGGCCAGTAGCAGAAATGTATAGCTATGGCTGAAGTTTTATCCTACCTGATGTTTTTTCCTACCCGTAGTGTAAATTTATAGACAAATCTGACATTTGTGTTCAGGGTGGTACAACATTATTATATACATCAAATACGTGCTTCTGACTCTATTTAGAGTGGTAGCACATTACTATAGACATGAAATCGCTATAAATACGTGCTTCTGACTCTATTCAGAGTGGTAGCACATTACTATAGGCATGAAATCGCTATAAATACGTGCTTCTGGCTCTATTCAGTGGTAGCACATTACTATTGGCATGAAATCGCTATAAATACGTGCTT